CTCCAAACTAAGTTAAATATCTCAAAGCGTAAAAGATGTGAAAATCTGAAGAACAAGTGTTATAACTGAAGGTCCATAAAGTTGGAATGAAGTCTCTAGCTGAAAGTACAGTTGCAAGAAAAAGTATGTGAACCCTTTGGAATTACCTGGATTTCTGCATAAGTTGGTCATAAAATGTGTCTAAGTCACAACAATAGACAAACACAGTCTGCTTAAACTAATACAACACAAACAATTATATGTTTCATGTTTTTATTGAACACACCATGTAAACATTCACAGTGCAGGGTGGAAAAAGTATGTGAACCCCTAGGCTAAAGACTTCTTCAAGAGCTAATTGGAGTCAGGAGTCAGCCAACCTGGAGTCCAATCAATGAGACGAGATTGGAGATGTTGGTTAAAGCTGCCCTGCCCTATAAAAAATACACACCAGTTTTGAATTTGCTATTCTTAAGAAGCATTGCCAGATGTGAACCATGCCTCGCACACAAGAGCTCTCAGAAGACCTACGATTAAGAATTGTTGACTTGCATAAAGCTGGAAAGGGTTACAAAAGTATCTCTAAAAGCCTTGATGTTCATCAGTCCACGGTAAGACAAATGGTCTATACATGGAGAAAGTTCAGCACTGTTGCTACTCTCCCTAGGAGTGGCCGTGCTGTAAAGATGACTGCAAGAGCACAGCGCAGAATGCTCAATGAGGTGAAGAAGAATCCTAGAGTGTCAGCTAGAGACTTAAAGAAATCTCTGGCACATGCTAACATCTCTGTTGACGAATCTACGATATGTAAAACACTGAACAAGAATGGAGTTCATGGGAGGACACCACGGAGGAAGCCACTGCTGTCCAGAAAAAACATTGCTGCACGTTTGAAGTTTGCAAAAGAGCACCTGGATGTTCCACAGCACTACTGGCAACATATTCTGTGGACAGATGAAACCAAAGTTGAGTTGTTTGGAAGGAACACACAACGCTATGTGTGGAGAATCCAAAGGGTTCACATACTTTTTCTTTCAACTGTATGTGGAAGGAGAAGCATTTGGCGCAAGGTGTAGGTAAAAGAGGATTTGAAGGTTCCTCCCATTGAGTTACATGTTAAAAAAAGAGTATAAAAAGCTGAATATTTCAAAAAGTATAAAATATTTAGAAAAAGTTAAAAGTTTCCCATCATGTGCTGAAAAGGCTGAATAGTTTGATATTTGAATGGTTTCTGTAGCTGAAATTATCGGACGGCAAAATATTGGTTGAAATAATAATAAGAAGAAGATATAAAGATTTGAAGAACTATAGTGGAATGCTATTGCACAGCATTCACACTAATAAAGAACAGCATGTTTGAATATTCCTTATTTTGGCTGGACCCAGAGATACATTGTATGATCTTGATGCCTAGTGTAAAAGTGCCTTAAAAATGTCTCCTTTGTTTATCTTGGCAATGGAGTCATGAGAAAATGTGGATGTGACTTTTTCTGGTCATTTATGTCTACTAGCACCACAATGTTTCTGGGCCACCATGTAGTTTGCTTGGCCTGCAGGCATGTGTGTATATTAAATACATTTTTCACTTCCTACCTTAGGTGGAGTTCCCTGAAGCGCGAATCTACGAGGAGACCCTGAACACCTTGCTTTACGAGACAATGCCTCTTCCCGACAACTCTTTGCTGGAGGCCACGCGGCGGAGCTACACCAGCTGTGGATCTCACAGTGAGGAAGAGGAGGGGCCCGGGGGAGTGGAGCTTCGCGAGCGTGTCCGTCGAATCCACATCAAGAGGTACAGCACGTACGAAGAGCGGCCCATGGGACACTGAAGCCCGGGAGCACGAGCGGCTGGACAGATTTCACATTGATGGTGAACATTCAGAGATGGAATCTGACGACCCTCACACGTTTCTCCTTTGAATAGTTTTCTTTACCACTATCTAAAGAACATGATGAAAGTGCATCTGACATTTTACTCTAGATAGTTGTGGTGTTGTCTGCTCTGTCCATCATCATTTTACGAAGTGTTATCAGAGGATTCAGAGCAACTACTTTAAATACCTAGGGAACTGTAGTTTATTTTAAATTAAATAGAGATGAATAGGGAGGAAAAATCACTGATATGCACTATTTCTACGAAGAAATATTGTAACAATCATAGCACTTACACTCTGAATCAGCAGGAGCATGTTTCATATTTATAGATTGTATTTTTCATACATACAAAAAAAGAGCCTGTTTTCAAAAAAAGTATCTGTTTTTCCAGAATTAGAGTCTAACATGTTTTAATGCAGTTTACCATATTGCCTTTTTTCCAGCTGTGAAGATAAAAGTTCTTGTTATTCAACTACATTTTGTCCTGGGTATGTTTTTAGAAGGCAGGTATAATGAAATATGTACACATGAAGGATCCCCCGTTTACGTCGTTAATAGTAACCATTACTATTTCAGTCCTTTTTGATATACTGATATTAATGGCAAGCACGGTTTAATGTACAGATCCCAGAAACGTAATTCAAAGTGTCTAACAACATAGTGAAAGTGACCATATTATGCTTTTTGAGGGTTTTCCTTCCTACATCTTTAAGTGGTTGACCAATCACAACATTTTCGTTTCATTTAATCGTTTATTTGAAGAGGGACAGTGCATATTGATGAACATTTAAAACAAATAATGTTTTAAAACGTAAACATGCCAGATTTGAGCTTTGAGCTAATTTCTACCCGTAGTCCCTCACATACAACATTTAAGAACCTGACATTTATATACATAGCAAAAATAAATACATGATATGCAGAAAGAGCATGAGCAGCATATACAAGTATTTACCACATGGCAGTACAATGTAGCAGCTACGACATATAAAGTGCAAGAGGAGATACAAGAGCTACATCAAGTGCAAGAGGAGATACCCCTGTATTAAAGTGCATTTAGCGGTGATTGCACATTTGTTTCTCACCCATTCTTTTAGTTGACCTTTTTAAAACTGTTCAAAGTGGGACAATCCCGTAACTCAGCTATTCCACAATGAGCTGCCCTTAAAACCCTCTATGGCATACTGTTGCCCTCAGGCAACAAACCACTTTTTTCGACCTCACACTGGCTATATTTATTTTTTTAAATATACACAATGTCACCTGACATGCTGGTGTCCAATAAAATGAGGGAATTATATGGGTGTGGCATTTTGTCTGGGGGTGGAGCAGTCCTTTCTGCAAGCAAAGCTGCAGGGGACTCAGGGCCACCACTTGGTAAGATACATTTCACTTTTTAACATATTAGAAATGTACACAACTGAAAATAAAAAATACATGCATGTGCATGAATACGTAAAGAAGTATATTTGATTGTTTAAAGACTTATTATGTATTTATTAATTAGCTAAAACTATGTTTTTTTGTTCGTTGCCTCAGAGCAACACTGTGCACTGAGACCACTTTTTTTCAGGCAATATCATACAAATGTGCTCAGCTGTAAAATGATAAACCTAATCAATGTTTTTACCTCTACTGATATTTACAGGAAATGGACCCAAAACATGTTATGGGCAGAAGGGACACGATCAGGCTGTTAGGGCTATTCCGTCTGACAGTGAGGACAGTGAAGGTCAAGATAGGGTTAGACAGACACACACACACACACACACACACACACACACACACACACACACACACACACACACACACACACAGAGAACCTTTTGAATTCATATAGAGTTGTTTTTTCTATTTCTTCTGAATTGTAGAAATCCTTGGTGTTTCAATATCCTCGTAGCACAGTGTTGCCTTGAGGCAACAAACCAACCCCTGGTGGGGGGGGTCACATTTTATAATTTATATAATATCAGGGACCCCTAAGCTCCTAAAACACATGGTGAACATTTGTTTTCCTCCCAAAATAAAAAGTCATGCCATAGAGGGTTAATTGATAGAACATTTTGTCCAAAAGTGGTCGGTCTACGGTGGACTTCACAGTCTCCTTTTTCTCCACAGAGCCAGTCAGCTAACCAATCAGAGCAATGTATGAGACAAATAAAGCAATATGTCCTCTTTAAGAGGAATAAAACACGTTTTAGCTGAAAGGCTAGAGAATATTGGGATTACATCTGTCAATTTAATCCCCCAAAACATGGTTTTAATTCTTAATTATTTCTTTCTTTATATTATATGATATAAATACATGAAAAAAAAACAAGCGAACCTCATACAAAAATGTTTTGCTATTTTATTATTAGTGAAGGTCCCCTACATGAATACAGGGTTTTCTGCTAGGGTTTTTTCCTGAGAATTCCTTTTTTATCTCCGTTAGAATAAGATGCTTTAGGATTTCATAACAATTAAATTGGAATCTGTATAATCTGTGAGGTGTTTAATATTATTACATAGCATTTAGCCAACGCTTGTATCCACAGTGACTTACAATAAGTGCAATAAACCATAACGATTCAAACTAAGGACACCAAGAACAGTGCTGACATACTTACTTAAAACAAGCAATATCATTGTAAGTAATGAGTAATATCAGTTTAATTTCTATAAACAGATTCTGCATATTAAGTTAGAATCTGTAGGCTACAGGACGGATGTTGGTGACAAAAGAGAACTTTAGGGCACTTCTTTAAAGTGTAATGTTGAACTGAAAGACAAGGTTGAATGCATATGGGAACATGTCTTCTGATGGTTGCAGGTGCACCCTCAGCCCACATGGAGGCACAAGCAGGAGGTTTAATGACGGGGAGTCCACCAGAGGAGGTCACTCTGTATCATGTTGCTGTGACGTCTTCTATTGTGCAGTACCATACTTCTGAATGAAGTCATTAAAAATACTGTATTTCAATGAGCTCATTAATGCGTTGCATGTTTCCTGCTCTTATAAAGGAGATGCTATACATAACTCTACAGGTTGGTGTGTGCTGATGCTGAGAGGCTGCAGGTTGGGGCGGGGTGGGATGCTGGGAGTTTTTTTGTCCTCCTCCATTGATCAGCACGGTGAGGAAGGCGGGTCTTCTGACGTTGCCGTGAAGCTGCTCGGCTGCGTCAGAGTCCAGCTGAGCGAAGGAAGAAGGAAACGAGGGATAAAAGGGAGAGCGGTTCTGAGAGCGGACGGACCAGCGTCGTGTGCACCGCGGACGGACAGACGGGCAGACATGGAGGGCTCCACGGAGGAAGACTACAAAGAGAAATTATTATGGAACGTCAAACGCGAGGTAGGCGCGAATTATTGACGACCTGTCGAGCTCCTCATTCACGTTTTTACCGTTTCATTTCACGTTATTATTCACTTAAATCACGACGCGATTCTTGGAAGTGTTTTTCCCGGGGTTATCAGGGTCTACGTTGTTATGAGCTTAATTCAATTCAGTTTAAAAATGCAAGTTTCCCAAACTGGTTTTGAATAACTGTATCTAGCTAAAAATGCACCTACTTTTTGTATTAGTAGTATCTCTGTAGGCTACTAAGTAGTTGGCTATCATTTCTCTATCTGATTCAGGTAAAAATTACAACAGGAATATTCCTTTAAAAATGTATAGGAATTATATGGTTACAATACATACAAAACTAAAGCATTTACAAATAGGAAAATATATAAAAATAAATAGGAATGTTGGAATTTTCCTATATTATTCCATGCACCTAAATCTTACGTATGGTCCTAGGTGAGTAGCTACTATAAATCAATTTGTAATCTGCCATAATTCATTAACATACATGCATTACACAAGTTTTAATTGACCATATATCATCCAAATATGTTGTATTATCTCTTATGCATACCTGATGTGATTGCTGCATGAAATCGATTACATTCACTATATAAACATATTTTTTTGTAAGATCCTAGCATCCATTTATAAGCTAGCTCTCAGGGCAGAAATCATCTAAAGTGTTACAGCGAGGCATCTTTTCAACACAGGTTGTATTGCTGTCTGTCTCTACCAGCAGCAGTAACATCCACGGTGCCTCCGGCTTTTTGTTCCTGGTGATGAATTTCTCACATCTCTCCAGTGAGGAATAAATCAGTCCTCCTGTAACCTATCTACCCACTCCCATTGTATGCTGCCTTCACTGAAAGCTACAACTTTAAGGATTTTCCTGCACTGAAATGTTAGAGTAAATCAAAGACTGGATGTGACGAGGTGTGGCTCACTGCCTAAACCTCAGTCTGAGTGATATGAGCATGTCGTTTCTGTCATTATTATGGTAAAGAAAGGTCAATGTAAAAATATCAAACACAAAATCCCAGATATGCGTTCTAATGAGTGTTTCCATGCACGAAACACAAATCACCTGATTATTCTTCATTATTTATTTTTATTGCTTCACTTAAACATATAATTGACTTATTGTAATCAGAATTTCATGTTTGGCGGTGAATGGTATCCAATGCATTCGTTATAACGTATATTTAGTGAATTGACACCACTGCAGCTTCTTTAAAATAAAGGAAAACCTGAGTCTCAGTGTGTCACCTGGAGGTAGACAAAGTAGTCAAAAATGTATTCAAGCATTTTGAAAATGTACTGAAAAAAATCAAATTCAAACGTTAGTCATTGCTAGTAGGGTGTTTTTACAAATGTTCATCCAGTCATACAGGTTGATGCAGTTTGTCATTGTTTTGCGTATCTTCCTCTTACCATTTGAAATCAATTTATTTTTCCAAAGATGCATCTTCAATTTGATCTTTGGCGTCTTTATGTTCCTTGGGAAGTTCTCAGAGTTAGACCTCTTTAATAGCTGACAAATGCTGCCCATTAGCAAGCAAGCTATTGTGAGGGATTTCATTCTGATTGTTTATCGGGTGAAGTTGTAGTCATTAGTCAACCACACTTGAGTCAAATCAATGACACGTCCAAGTCAAGACAGTCCAAATGGGTGTTGAGGCCAGGCCAAGAACAACAACACTGATCAGCGCCTATTCAATATTTGTTTTATACTCATTAATATCATGTTTAGAGCCAACATTCATTTACACAAAATGCAGGATACATCACTTATCTTTTGAGCCTTATTAGAATCCTTTCTGTCCTCCTCCAGACATCCCACAGTCACCCACGGGTTTGGGACTTCAATAATTGAACCTTTGAATCGTCTGTACCGGTAATTCTAAAAATAGCTTTAGTTCTCAGGATGTGTCTGCTACTTCACCATCAGGGAAATAAGGAGGAACATACTTGGGTCACTGGGCCACTGGAAGCTGTGTATTGATGTTAAAACTACTTTGTGCGTCAGTTGGAGGTTTTGTAAGGTCTCCACAGCTTTGCATTTCACTTTAAAGGAGCCCTATTCTGCTAATGTTCAGGTTCATATTTGTATTTTGAGCCTCAAGTGTGACATGTCTCCATGCTTTAATGTTCAAAAAGCTCTTTATTTGTCTCATACTGCCTGTGCTGCAGCACCTCTTTTCACCCTCTGTCTGAAACCAGAGCCCAGTCTGCTCTGATTGGTTAGCTGGCCGGCTCTGTTGTGATTGGTCAACCGCTTCAAGATGTCCTGCTCCTTAGTCGATCACGTACAATTTGTTGGAGCGCTAGCTAGTGATGTCACTATGTTATGGAAGTTAACAAAGGAGATCAATCGAGGCGTGAACTCTGGGATTTTAGCCTTTGAGACCATTTACATGCTCAACACATAACACACTACAGTCGAGGGAAAACCCAGAAAAAAAGCATAATATGGCCTCTTTAAGATTATTGAAAGTATAATGTCTTTGTTGTCATGTGTTGTGCGATTTTCCCATTTGTTTCACATGCTTTTTATCGTCCTTTGTTCTAGAACAGTGATTCATGATAGCATCATAGCTGGATGTTAGCGGCCACAGCGGCAGCAGTTAGATGTATCCAGGCAGAAGTTGTGGTACATTGGCATTTTACATTTAGAAAGGCCTTGGTTAAGCCCAATTATTGGAGACTCTGAAATGTGACTTTTCTCTGTACATTAGATAAGCTCAGAAACAATGTAGCTGATTAGGTGTCATGCTGAGATCAATTTGCTCTTACATGAAGGAATTGCTGTTGCTTCTGAACCGTATTGTTCTATTTTCTTCCAAAGGTACTACATAGTCCAAAAATGCAACATTTTGCAAATCTGTATTCTGCGTATCCCCCCCAAAAATCAATGATGTGATTGGCTATTGTTGATCGAGGAGATGCTAGTCAATGCCATCCGACATTTTAGGAAGAGCAAACTGGGCTGAGAGAGACTGGTTTGTGCAAAGCTCCCGGTTTAAGTTCCCTGTCTCTTGCAGCGGCACTCGGCTATCTCACTATTGCTTGGCAACTGAAAGCTTCAGCAGCTCCCTTAAGAAGAAGTAAAATTGCATTCGTTGGCTATTTAATATCATGTGAATGCGACGCTGTCAGGAGATCTCTTGTAAGTGCCTTCAATGCTGCCACCAGGACATTTTTCATTGAGAGGAGGGTGAAAGCAGCAGTCCACGCAAAGCTGAAATAATTGTGTTAGACAAGGAACAAGACGTGTATCTTCTGCTTTTGTGCAATACTGAATCTCTAATAGATGTTTAATGGTGTAACACTTTCCCATTCCAACGCATAGAGAATCCTCAGAATGTATTTCCCCAGATCATTTCTCGAACAGAAGTGTTACATTTAAAATGAGGAAGTAAATTAAAAGAGTATATTCATATTGCAGCTTCAAACATACAGTTTGAAAGTTATATCGCAAATTTGTCTATTTTAGGGATGTTCTCTTTTAGTTTAACTTTTTTTATTCTCATCTTTTCTTTATTGCAAAGTGTATTTAACAATGTGAATCCCTGTGTCTCAGTCATTTTGACTTGAATGGGATACAATTGATGTGTCACTCATGTTCAAGAGGGTGTTAAAGAAAGCACTCTTTCTCCGCAGTAGTGCTGTATTTTTGTGAGGTGTAAAAGTTCCATAAAGCACAAATGTGATAATGACACATTTATAGAGACCACCGGGATCCTGGTGTCAGAGTAATGTTAGACTGAAGGGATTGAAATGACAGGACGTAAGGCCATGGTCGTAGAGCCTGAAAATGGTGGTGGAGACGAGCAAATAGGTGACATTGAAGATGAAGAGCATGATGTGAAGATGAAGTGAAAGTCGTGTTTACAGCTCCTCGTGGACCACCTCCAAATTGATAGAAAATCATCCATCCACAGACAAATAGTTTTTCAAAGAGCTATGCCGTTTGAGATGAAATCAAGCTTTGCCAATCCTTTTTAAACGCACATACACGCCACACATATAAGTGAATTTGGCTACAGTTTATTTATATTCAGAGGTACTGTTTTAATAAGATCTTTCTTGAATTTTCATTTCTGCCAGTTTTTGGCAGCTGCTCTCCTTTTACAGTTCTGCATAAACTAAAGCCAGACCAGAGGATCACCAATTTATGACAATCATCCAGTGGGGAACATCAATGACTTTACCAGATGTAACCCCAATCCATCCAGTCAATATTGAAGCGACCTAATAGTAGCACTAGAGGAAAGATTAGCTAACACCAACTCGTCAGGATTCATCCACCTCAGGAACATTGCAAAACTCCGTCCCACACTCTCCCTGTCAGATTAGCTATTTCAGATACCAGAGGTACCATGAGCTTGGAAATAAAATGTTCTTTCTGCTTTATTAACCACCATAATAAAAATAAGATATACTTTATTGATCCTACATTTGGAATTGTCTTCGTTACAGCAGAATGTAAAACGAGGCATTCACATAATTAAAAATGTAAAAGAGTAGAAAATAAGCAATTGTAAATATGAACATCAAGTTGACCGTGAAGATGCAAATCTGTAAACTATGTGACAAATAAAACACTATTGAAGGGCCAAATTACAGCCAACACAGTATAAAAGGATATTATTTACATTAAGTGTGCAAGGAATGGCATATTAAATTAAATATGAATGGTGCGGTCTTTAAGTATAGCTTTTAAAATAATGTTTTACTCTTAATTATTTATTTTTTTGGCATTGTTAAGGTGTAGCCTTCTAAGCTAATACTCATAGCTAGATAACTATACTTTGGCTGTTGCTTTTTTCTTGTTGAGAAGTCAATCTAATGACGTCAAAGAGATGCAATATGACCACAACATATGTATGTTCTCAGCAAACGCACATGACGTTGTACCTGGGCATTGGCTTACTTAATAATAGTGTTTGATTCAAAACTGCTAGACAATACGAGAAGCAATTACTCTGAAGCATATTGGCGTA